AGATGCATCGTCGTCAACAATCGTTAACAAATGTCTTAAGGAAAAAGATTGGGACCATGTGTGCAAAGCTAAAGCGAGCAAGAGGAAAAGTGGAGGTTTCGGTGTCAAGAGGCTCACTGGCGCGACCAAACTTATTCTGTCAAGTTATTTTATCACGAGTTAGATAATTACTTTATTGAAAACGAGCTCTGGAAGAATCTTTGCAGAACGTAATTACTAAGCGACGGAAACTTGAGGAAGGGCTCGAGGACACAGAGAGAAGCTGCAAGTATCACAAACTGAAAAAGATTCCAAAGATTCCAACGTGATGAATTTCACTCGCTTTGCGACTTTGTCTACGGCTGTCACAACGACAGGATGAAAGTTTACGGTCGTTGGTTTTCGATCTTGTCTTCTTTTCTGAATAAAAGCCTCGTTGAAAAGACCTCGTCGGAGTATCGTTTTGGGACTCTCCTTTCCCTTGCAGCCGCCATGTTTACAAATGTAAATTGTCACTAACGCGATTGATACTCTGATGCGCAAGCGCAGTTAGGAAAGCGTTGTTCGCGCCAGCCTGGACGCGAATTAGAGCAAATGTTCACGCTTATGGGAAATAGGTTTGATATGTTGAGGTTACCCTCTGCCATACAAATCTTTAGCATGACAATCAAATATTTTGAACCCCTTATTATTATTACAATAGGTTGCAACAGCAATACACCTTACTGTTAAAATGAAATTGGTGTAGTTTTCAGATATGAGCGACACTAAGGCTCTTCGCAAAGAAGTACAGTGCTGATATCCCTCTTTAGTAGTTTCTTGGTGAACAGTACCGGAGTAATCTTTACTGTATTCCAGATGGTAATCAGTATCAAACACATTTAATGCTGTTGGTCATTCTGGCTGCATTTAAAACGCCTGTCTGGCTAATTGTGACAAACTTGAATAAAACTGATCTATACTCAAGATAACGGCTTCAAAGCAAAGCGATCGTCACAACATCGTACACAATTCTGAGTTTTTCCGGAGGTCTGAGTTTTCGAGACACCCCATGAAAGAATATGTGCGTAGACAAATTCTTTAACCTTTCTGCTCTTGTTCCTTAAACTTTTAAACTTCGTATTGGTATTCTGCTTGGTTCACGATCACGTCTACATATAAGATGAGATTTGCGTTACGTTTAAACTTCATTTGATTAACATTAGATAGCTCAGCTGATATGGCATGTTTCTCCATGAAAGGTTCACTCATAAACGTTCGCTCACAAAGAGATCTCTCATAAAGTTCGCGGACCGACCCGTTCCGAAAACGCTCGACATCTTTTAGAGAGGGTCCACCGCGAACGCTGTATGCATATTTTGTGTGCGTTTTAAGCGTATTATACACAGTATCTGTGCTGATTTTGGACCGCAAAAATTTCTCTTCTTCCGCCTTTACACCATGCCACGTGCTTATCAGTTAAAACTTCGCGCGTGCGTGCCAAGGGCTTGATTGCGAGCCGGAATTTTAACTCGGGCGTTTCCTTTGGAAAGCCTGAGTAGTAAACCCGTGGAGTGACGAATAACTACATGTTCATTACTGCGAAGATCACTTCGCTATTCACTTGTCGATATGTAAGTTGGTCTCTTAAAAGGTTTTTAAACCTGGCGTTTCGAGTGTTACCCTTTCGTTATTGCTCTGACGGAGAGCTTGTTGAAGGCCTAAATGTAATAACTGTCCTAAATGTAATAACTGACCTAAATGTAATAACTGTCCTAAATGTATAGTAAATTCCTAAATGTGATAACACTTGGTCCTAAATGTAATAGGCCTCCAATGCAATCATTTAACTCCGCCAGTGCATTGTTGTTATAGCGGACATCCACATTGAGATGTTAAAGTGACAGCTGTTGCACCAAAAAATCCTCCGACCGATATTCATGTCACATTGCGGACTCGCTGATATTAATCAGCGTCTTTTTTTAATTTGCTAGACTGAAGTCGATAAGTATTGGCTGCAAACCGTTACTCTTATGAACAATTGGCAACAAATTACAGCCGGCAAAACAATGAGAACGCTGACCAATACGTCTTCATGTATCACTGGCTCAGACTCTTAAGAGGCCCTGCGCCTAAGAAACGACCGATGATTTCTGGCTAAAAATTAAAATCGGCCGATTTTTATTTTCCAAGTAGAGGTTACCTAATACTATTTAAAAATGAATTTCTTTTGCTTCAGTTTCGCTTTAAACCAAAAATATCGAGCCGCGAACTTGTTACGTCTGATAGCAGCAAAATCTGTCCCAAAATATGCCCTTTCAAAAACCGGTTCAAAAATCACTATCGCATCACAAAATGATGAAAAAACTACGCAGTTATGAAGAAAAAGGGCTTTTAATGCAATAGCATTCGATAAACATCGAAAAACTACAGAAGCGAATGAAAAATAAATTTTCAAATATTGCATATCAATTTAGATGGAGCGTTGGAGATGATTTTAAAATAAATATTTCTACAAAATCCAACGCTGTTGAAAGCAATCACAGTGGTGAATCAGACACTAGAAGGATATGCATTACGTTTCTGGAAAAAATTTTTTCGGCCAAAATATATTGACCTTGTACGAAGCGTTTAAAGTTGCAGTGTTTACCGTTATGTTGCTACTTCGGCGAAACACTTCTCTGTTGCCAATACGTTCATGGATAGCTTGGTAAATGTCACTTTAAACCTTGCTAGGCGCTCAAATACCATCCTAAATAGAATGATATGGTATTAAAAGAGAAAGGAAGATGAAAAATAGGTAGAAAAAGAAAATAATTTACATTTACCATCTGCTGAGGTGAGTTGAATCTTGGAAATGTTATCGCGTGACAGCACTCATTTCTCCAAACTACGGTGGAATCCAAGCAACTGCTTAGAACATAAGTAAAAAAAACAACTCTTCCGCGCCAGAAATCCTGAAGTGAAACAGTTTTATATTATTGCCATGAATGATGATGAATTCAGGGACAGTTAGCCTCAGATAGTGTCCATTTAGTACTTTGGTGGGCTGCATGTATTTCGTTACATTCCAACGGACGTTACGGGTCAGTACTTACAGGGGTCAGCGGACGTAAAAATAGAAACAACCAGGTAATCATGGCGGATGCCTGTACTTCGTCAAAAGAGGATATCCTGGACTGCGGATCCTCACGTGGTCGCACGGAGACAGTGTTTCTGTATGAATGTCGAGATGATGTAACTACACATCTAAAAATTGTTTTTTGTCGCGTGCAAACCTGAAAGAATACGAGGTTATCCAGCAAAGGGCTGGCCTCGACCTATTCCGTATGACGTATTAAGTCAACGGTTCCTTGCGGAGCCAAACATCGCGTAACACAACGCGTGACGCTTTCATGAATAAATACATATATGTCCGAGAATTAATCTTTCGTCTTTTTCTAGATGTGAACTTGGGACGCCTCTGCAAACTCCTTAATTGCAAGCGCAACAACCTCAAGGAACCTCACCCCAGCACCCCAGGGTTGTAAGGTTTAAAGAGACATATACCACGCTATCCATGGACGTATTGGGAACAGAAAAGTGTTTTGGTTGTTTTTACTTAGAATGCGCGGAAATCTGCTGATATATCGAAAACTGTCCATTTCCCGTCTTTTTTGGGGCGACCTATGGAAACCTCATGGAGAGATACAGCGTCACGCCATCGTGACACAGTACATGTTTATGACAAATGACTGGTGTGAGGATAGTTTTATGTAGATCAGCCTACTTCAACATGTTTCAAATGACATACAAGTACAACAGTGTCTCTTCAGAGGATTTTGGTTTGCTCAAATTCCCATGAAAGAAGGTGCAGCACTCGGCATCTGGATGATATGCATACGATTTGAGGTATATGTTTGTAGTTACGTGGAGTAGTCCTCCATGAAGGTTGATCAATTTTTTCTAAAGATGACAACCAGAGGCGAGATTTCTCTTCGGGATATTGCTCATAAGATAACATTCTTTCAAAGACTCGCACGTTTCATTTGTCTGAAACGTTTGTTGTTTAGAACATTAGATGTAAACATCGCCAAATTAGACAATATCTGATTTTGAGCTTCGTTCGCGAATTGCCCCTATGGAAAGTAGAGGCAGGCCCGCAGAGATTTTTGCATATTTAAAAACTAGAATATTATAACCAGCTAGGTGGGTAGTTTCAGTTCCCGAATCAGTATAATTTTGGAGAAATTTAGATAAACGTTTTCCCTGTTTTACCCGACAACAAAAATGACCGAAACTGTACCGAGATAAATAATCTATTGGTGTGTTCACATTCACTTCCAGGGAAAATTAAATGTATCAGAGTGAAAACGAATGATGTCACTTTGTATGGTAGGAGTGCCAGTTTTTAATGTTGTATATAATTTGAGATAGAGAATTAAACATTTCTCTCTTTTTTTGCGACGTTTTTTCAGAATTTTCGAGTCCCTTTCCATGTAAGGCATTGAGACTATTAATACAAAAGATATATAATAGATAATCGAGACGTTATTGATATCGGATTCAATGTAGGCCACAAAAACAAAACTTTGCAATTGAAAAGTGGATTTCGCGTACCTGTGGCAAACTTCATCTTAAACCGCTCTTGAAGCTGGTGAAGACATGATTTGTATTCTCCGTTGACTTGAAAATTTCTCCTTGTTTAGGAACAATTCCCTCCTTTTTGTAAAGATTTTGCTACTCGTGATATTACGAGAAGTATTGACCGGTAAGCCTCATATTTCTGTCAGAAGGATAGATCCATAACAGTTACTCTTGTTTTTGGAAAATATCCAATATTATAAACTTTAAGATCTCGGTTGTTAGAGAACGCAGTTACGTGGTTGATCTATCAGCAATTTGAAATACCTCATGTCTGCTGGTCTGTGTACATCAAGTGCAATCTAGTTAGGAACCTTTCCTCCACAAAAGTAAAATTGTGATATGTTATAAACAGAATCATTTGACAGCCAAACATGTTATTAAAAATCTTTATTATATAAAATGTGAGTAACACAATGCATTTTGTTGTATTTCAATATTAGAAAAATATCTAATAGAACAGAGAGTATCAGAGCAAAAAAATAACATAACTGCTTTTTTTTTTTTCACGAGACAAAACTTTTAAGAAAAAAGGCTCAAATTTGTCCATTTTGAGGAAAACAATTTATCAGAAGATAATCGGTCTGCGATACTGACACTCCGTTCATAAGCGCCAAATTCATAAGTGAGGAAATAAAAGAGAACAAGGATACAAGCTTGAAATTTAAGTCAGTATTATAGAGAATACAAATGAAGTAAACGTAATTAAATGCCACCAAGTTCAGCCAGCCAGCATCTCGACGTATTATTTTCTTCTAATGATACATTATAGTTGGGTTGTAAAGCCGGACTCTGTTCCAGTCTCCTTTCTGGTTCCTGTTTAGTGTCAGGTAAAAATAGAAAATTGAATTCTTTAATCATTAATGATATTGATAATTAACAATTCTGGCTCTGCCTCAAACATTTGTGTAATACACTCTTTAAAGGTTCCATCGTCATATTATCTTGAAGACTAGACGCCTATAGTCGTTTACTCGGGCTACTTATGTGTGACACAGAAAGAATATCTTCGCAGTTGCCTCGCTTTCATGATTGTGGAGGAATACCACAGACCGTCAAGCAATGCAGGCTTACACACTTTCGACATCGTCGATAGATAGATAGATAGATAGAGAGATAGGAAACTGAAACCTAGACTCGGCCTACCTGCGTAGCCCGAGTAATAAACCATGCTAGAGTGTAACGCAAATGTGTTAGTTGCATAGTTAGACGGGAATGTTTTGTGGAAGAGGAGGTCTTTGGGATTTAAGAAACCGCCTTTTCGAGCTTAGACCGTGACGCTAATTTTGAAGAGGGAGAGAGAGGGAGTATTGCAATTGAAATGTGAAATAAGATCTTCATTTTTGAGAAAAGAAAAGGAACTTGGGTATAAAGCGGATCCCCATAATCAAGGGAAAAAGGGGAAAGTCTGGACTTGTTCTGTTTCTCAGTTGCTGACACTCTAACTATGTGAACGGTGAATCACAAGACTGCAATATTTCGTTGAGGAAGTATGTAATATTTTTTTAGCAAATTGCAATTTTTTGTTTAATTCTACTTCCTTCTCCTCAGGAAGTGAGCCTTTATTACATGATTCTTTATAAAATAATTCAAATAGTACGCGCGCTCTGATTGGCCATAAAACCATTTTACATGAGCGTATGTAAACACAGTTTTCGTTCCTCTTTCATTAGTTATTTTATAAAAGAAATTTAAAATGGTTTACGTGTTTACATAGCCTGATGTAAACATGGAAACCATTTTACATTTCTTCATTGGAGTTCACCCATCTACAACTACACGCACGAATACACCTTTAAGTCACCTAAAAAACTGCATCTCACCTTTTTTCCCGCGGACTGTTTGGTTAACTTGAAAAACTATTACAAGCAGCAAGCTAAAAGTAGCGAGTGAGCTAGGCACCAATGAGAACACATTTTGTACGTAACTCCCACACTCTTGGCAATCGGCAGATGTACTAGGAGAAAAAAAAAACGAACCATTCCAAATGTTTACCCTTTGGAAAGTCTTTCTAGAGAGAATAACTCTCTTTTAATACCTGTATTGACGTCGATACCTGAGTTATAAAAAAGCTATTTTATCATTTTGAACATTTTTTTCGCTTTCGTAATTCTTCTAAATAGCTCGTGGGCGTAATTACTTTTTCTGAAGAAAATTCCACCTTTCTAATGAAAATTCCACTCAAAATTTATCTTGAAGTTTTGTTGCCTTCTTCCATTTCGCGAAAATATCCCATTGATTTCAACGCTTCTGGAACGCATTTTAAGCCCCGTAAAATGCTGGTAGAATTTATTGTTGAACAGGATGAAAGAAGGAGCCTGGTAGGGATGAAGGATGAACAGAATAAAAAGGCGTTGAATAACAAGAAGTACAAAGAGTCAAGAAGAAGAACATATATAAAACCGGAAAAAAATTAAAATGCGAAAGAAAATGGAAGAAGAAAGAAACTAAGGAAGACCAAAGAACAACGAAGAAAAGAAAAATAAACAGGCTGGGAAGTCATATTTTGTCAAAGAAATCACTTCATATTTTACAATGATGAAAATAATTCTTATCTCAAAACAAAAAGTCCAAATTTACCTTCCTTTAGGAAATAAAACCTGTATGACGATATAAAGAGTTCCTGAGGTCAGATTGGAGATGGTACCTACGACAGAAATCACCAAACCAGAGCTGCCCTGCAAGAAAATTGATTTAACAAAAAGGATTAGTTTTAAACGTCATATTAAAGCAAAACTGGATTTGTACAGTTGTCATAAGTTTTTATGAAAATTTAGATGTTAAACGAAATAAAGAGTTCTCCAACTTACTTTGTTGTCTCCAATAAGTTCTGTTGCAAAGCCAAGCGCATTAACAAACATGGCAGAGGACCCAAACCCTAGTAGAACGACGGCCGGGTAAGTGAACACTTTTGTTGACTGGGTAATACGCAGAAACCACATACACGATCCAGTCACCGTCAGAGCAGCCACAATGAAGGACCACTAAAACAGGACGAGGAGTTTCAGAATATGGCTAATATATGTATCATTAAATCATTACATTTCCAGTTTTTTGATTGCTTAACTCAGTTCTGGACATCAGCTTATATACCGAATAACCTTATATGGAAAATAATCACCTAAGCTTTGCTGAGCTGGATTTAGTTGCTTTTGGCTGCAAGAGAACGATTCTCCGGAGCAATAGAAATTAAGTAAAAAGAAATACTAGTCAATGTGATCTCGGTAACGATAAAAAAAGCTCAAATAAAACTACGACATGACACTATTAGTACGTAACGTTAACGTTTTTGAAAAAATTGCAGCTGAATTCATGGATTTATGGTATAGAAAAAGTATAGCCACGGCAGGAAAAAACAGCTTGTTACCTTGAAAATTTCAAGTCAGGATGACTCACAAATTTTCCCCCTCTGTCTAAACCTTTAGTTACAAAAGCTCAGTTGCTTATGAGTAGCCATGATATTAGTTTCTCTCGTCCGCTACCACACAGCAAAACATTTGAGAGTATGCAAAAAGCTTCTTGATAAGCTTGAATTAAGTTTTAGAAATTAAACCTTGAACCAAACGATCGTCTCAATGCGTTTGTAACTATAGTTTGTACATTCGGAGCAAGAAATATCGGGTTCAGTAAATCTAAACGAGAGTTTCCTCGCTCGCCTCATTTTCGGTTCCGTGAAAAACAACAATTGGACTAACTGTGCACAACTTTAACGCTTTTTGACTAGCTGGAACCGACAAACACTGTCTAATGCTTGTCTCGGATGAATTATCATACGTGCCTCGGCGAGAACGTTTTTCTGATTTTAAATTAATTTATTTTGAGTAGGTAGTCAGATCCAGCTGCGCGAACTTCTTAGCATTTTGATTTCATTCACCTCCGGCTTGTTGGCGCTTGAGACCAGATGCAAAAAGGGTAATTAAATTGCTATTCGGCTATCAACTTCTAATCTTGTCCACGATCATAGCTTACATAAGAAAATTACTTAAAAATAGTTTTCTTTCTTTTCATTACCTTTTTTCCTACTTTTCCAGAGAGCTTCCTTGATATTTGAGTGGACAATGTGGCGCTCACTAACAATATCAATGGCAGATTGGCAATCGCTTCCTTCAAAAAAAGCACAAACGTCTGAGGTTTTAGAAATTAAAAGCTTTCTCAGGGGGTCGGATTGATTGTTTTGCTGTCATGAAAAGCAATCTGTCGAGTCACTGATTCTCCTATATATACCAATCGGATACGTGCAACTTAATTCCCCCACAAGAGGAACCAGTCTTCCTTTGGTAGAACTTCAACCTGAAACCTGAAGGAGGTTTGTAGTCATCATGAGGATTATTTTTCACTCTTTTGGTAATGCCTAAACCAGCATCAACTCGTCCTTACTTTGTAATTTTCCGTTCTTAGTATAAGTAAGGCATTGGCAGGGTAAGTTTCTTGGCTATAAAGTATAGAGTATAAACGCTAACAGGAAAGCGATTCGCGATTTTTAACTCGTAGTCCACCCTAAATATTGATTTGCTACAACTACTCCATTTTTCAATTCTTTCACATGTTTAATTAACTAAGTGGTGGTCTTTCAGTCTGTCTGCATACCTGCCCGTCTTTCTTTCCGTCTATATGTCTATCTGCCGATGTCTGTCTGTCTGTCTGTCTGTCTGCCCGTCTGTTTATCTATCTGTCTGTCTGTCTTACAATCTGTCTACCTGTCTGCTGTGTGTGCCTACCTGTCTGTCTGTCTACCAGTCGCCCTGTCTACCTGTCTGTCTGTCGTGTGTGTCTGCCTGTCTGTCCGTCTGTCTATCTGACTGTGTGGTGGTCTTTCTGTGTGCCTGTCTATCTCTTCTTCTGTCTTACTGTAAAGTTGGCTACTTGACGGTGAAGGAGGAAGGTAGGAAACGAGAATGGACGAGTAACCAGGTAATTGGTTAACCATTACAGAAGATCGAGTATAACTTTTAGTATCTTTCAAGCCCACAAAAATAAATCCACGAAAGAAATTCCTCAAAAGTTTTCTGGTACATACTTTTTCAAATTTCAGTTTGTCAGTCAGGAGTAAGGGCAGGTAAGCGTAAAACACATCCTGTGAACCCTTTGTGCACGCGTAAATAATTGCGACCTGTAAAATAAGAGAAGTAATCGGCATTCGTAAAAAATCACATCCAACCGTTCCAGAAATCTACTCATTACAGTAAACTAATTTACAATGTATTACCTGCACTTAAGTTTCTTACAATAGAATGACGGAGAAGTGTGTTCCGGAAACCACTTTGTCTTTAACAACGTAATTATGAAAATCCGGTGTATATAGAAATGTTTTACTCACCGCGGTTTTAGATTCTAAAGAGTATCCTTACTGTTCAAACTTTGCCTTCAGAGGTGGGAGACTATGGATGCCGCCGTTTTGAAAGCAGCTCGGTAGCCCGGCCGCTAACGCGAAAATGTAACGCGCGGCTCACAAATAGTGGCTACATTGGTTATTGCAAAAACACCAAAGTTTTTGTTATTTAAAAATTTAATTTTGTTCAGAACTCTTAACTATGCATAGAAATCGTCATGGAGAGGAAACATGAATTCTGAGACTTATTCACGTCACAGGTAAGAGGCCAAACGTAGCGGGATGGGAGTCAGATTTTCAGCACCTTTATAGACAATTTTCGAGAAGTTAGGTTACCTTTTGAAATCTCATGGTCGGTTTCATAATCTGTCCAACACATTTTAATGGTGGAGAGAAAAATCATGTGGTTCCTGGTGTGTGTTTCTCCCAGGATCATTTGCAATAGGCTCGCTTGAATTTCTTACAACAAACTACATATTATATTCCTTCATTTTTTAGTGTGAAAGCTGAAGATTACATTGCAGGTACACATGAGGATTCGAATTACATACAAGCAAAAATCAAAATTAGCCAGGAAAGAACGAGAGAGTTTTAGAGACCTTTTAATTATACCCGAAATTAAGTTACCTTGTACAAATGAGGATCTTTGAGCCAGGTTCTCGCTGCCTTTGGTTTTGGTGGTTGAGCGGATTCAATATCAGAAGTAACAGATGGTACAGCTTTCCCCTCATCTTGGCAAACATCCTGAGAATGTTGGTTAAGCTGTGTTTCTTTTGTATCGAATCCTTGATTGTCAAGACCAGAGTTCAGTTTGTGAACTTGGTTGTACACTTCTGACTTTTGTTGTCCATTTGCCATTACTCCCTGGCCATCCTCTTCGCTTATGTCATTTACGGGTCTGCCATTGCTTGGCTTCGCATCGTTTTCTTTTGTAGAATCTTCTTGTTTTGTCATGAGTCTATCAAAGATGCTCATCCTGAAGCTTACTTTTTGCTCTTTAGACAATGTCTTAATGAACGTTGGTGGTCGAGCGGATTCAATATCAGAAGCAACAGATGGCACAGCTTTTCCCTCATCCTGGCTAACATCTTGAGAATGTTGGTTAAACTGTGTTTCTTTTGTATCGAATCCTTGATTGTCAAGACCAAAGTTCAGTTTGTGACCTTGGTTGTATTCTTCTGACTTTTGTTGTCCATTTTCCGTTACTCCCTGACCATCCTCTTCGCTTATGTCATTTACGGGTCTGCCATTGCTTGGCTTCGCATCGTTTTCTTTTGTAGAATCTTCTTGTTTTGTCATGAGTCTATCAAAGATGCTCATCCTGAAGCTTACTTTTCGCTCTTTAGGCAATGTCTTAACGAACGTCAAGTCGTTCTCACTTGTGACTGCCATCGGCACAACAGCCATATTCGGTGCAGGATCGTAAATTTGTTTTTCTAAGGTCTTATTTTCAGTAGCTTCCCTGGTTTCATTTCCTGCAAATATGGCTTCCAAAAAATTTTGGGAAAAACTCTTTTCTCCAACAGGAACGGTTTGTTCTTCAAATAATCGTCGACTGTGAATGACTCTATCTCGAATATTTTCCTCTCGCTGCTGATCTATGGGCAATAAAAAACAGAGACGGCGTCATATATCAATTTTCAAAGATGATTACAAAAAAAGAAATCTCATAGCAGCTGAAAAGCTGTTGAATTAAGAAAATGTTTTAGGGAGTAGAATGAAAGGAAACTTTGCTGTAAACACAGAAAGTGAGTTGTTACACGGTATTAAAAATGATGAATAAGAACTTACGCCTGTCAAAATACACCAATGACTGTAAGACAACAGGTAGTGGTATGAAGGGGGTTTTTCTCTGCAACAAATGTAAGCGGTACATCAATTGAAAAAGATCACCAGAGATGAAAACAGAGATTAAAAACGTTTAATAGTTAGTTAAATATAGCGCATATTTTCCCCAAAAATTCAGTAGACGTATTCATGATAACGTGCAGTCCCTACTCCAGTAAGGTGGTTAACAGTGACAGTGGGGGTCATTTTTGAGGTGAAAAAATCCCTTCTCCGATGCAGTCAAGATTCGAAATTCCGTCAGTACGGATCAAATAATTTTTTTCAAATATGATTATACCCAACGTTAACATTTACGTGCAATAAAAGACCTCGAAAAGTATAGGTAGCCACATGATTTTGAGTGAAATTTAGATAAACCAGCACTCGTTTTTCAAAGGCAAAAAGTTAACTCTGTTTCCTTTTTAGTCGTGTTTATTTTGTGTTATGGCTGAATGGTTCGGCCGCTTGCCTTTACGTTGTTGCCAGAAAAGTCGGGGTTTTCTAGAAAGAACCTGCTTCGAGCTTTTAAACTTACTTTTATCGAGCATTTGTTTGACTTCTCAGTTAGGTATCGCTTTAATAGCAGTAATCAGAAATCAGCTTTAATGGCAGTAATCAGTACATAAAGGCTATCACGCTCGTAATATTCCCCGTCTTTCTTTTTACGAACTGTGGCGTAAACTCCACGCGAATTTTCCTTATGGCCTTCAATACTTTCGTTACGACCGTTTTTGGTGCCCAAGACTTCCATACGTTTAGCCAATTGTTTGTGCTATGTTGGGTGTTTCATTCTTAGAACTCTCCTTCAAATCCTAAATTAAAACGTTCAACTTTCTCTCGACCTGTCTGCCATTTTGTTTTCATGTGCTATCGCGACTTACCAGTCAATCAATTTAATTTCAATTTGGTTGCATATCATTCAAAGGGAAGCGATGAACACATGTCCATTTTATCTGTGTTTATTCAAGAAAGGTATTTCCTTCTCTGTTTCCTTTTTTAAAGTAGACAAATGAAAATTTAATCGTTTTTCTCATAATGTAGGTCAGGCTAATCAATTGCATTAATCGCAACGTTTCGACGGCTAGTCTTCCAAAATTTACCATATAATCTGCAATTAATGTAGACCGCCTCTTTTTCCCTGAATCGTCTGAAGGTTCTTTGGTTCCAAAATGGAAAATGGCAGAGCAAATCAGTCCTAATCCTGTCAAGATCAGGGTTATCACCTATAGATGAACAGAAATCAGAACTGCAGTTAAGTAAGTTCAGTGATAGACTCAAGAAAGATAAAGTTGTCTCAAGCGATAACCCTAAATGGACATAAGCCCATCAACCACAAGCTGAAAGCTCGGATACCCCTTGGTACTCTGTGTCTCAGCTGAAGGAACAGGAAGCTATACAGGAAGAAAGTAAGTAGACAAAGAAATAACAGTGGAATAGTAATAGTCAGTGGCAGCACTAGAATCTTGTGGGGTTACTAATTACCATAAAATCCATTGAGCTTTCTTTTGTTAACTGATCACGGCTATCTTGTCCAAGAATTAGCCATGCCACAAGGTAGGAAACGATGCCAGTTAGGTACATAAAACCCGTTCTGTTGAGAAGAGGTCAACTACAAGTGAGCTTTGAAAAATGTTAACACTCTGTAAAGACAAGAACAGCCTCAGGATTTACTTGTAAGTTATTACGTGTAGCTGTTTCGGAAAGGAAATCAACTTCGACAAATATATAAAACTACTTACGATTTGTCCGAAGTAAGATCTTGGGAAAACTTTAGACCGAAATGCAGACATACTAACTAAACCGAGAAGTCATGCATGATTTATATAACCATCATCGTTATGTTTATATAATTTTATAATAATAATAATTTATTGACTTCTAAGGCGCAAATTATAATTATTATTATTATTATTATTATTATTACTATTATCATTATTATCATTACCATAATTGTTTTACCCAAACCATGTACAATCGTGACGAGGGCTGTGCACTTCGCCCGAATTTATTTGACTGACAGCCAGACCAAAAAGACCAAAATTGGTTTTGACCCAATCTGACACTGAGGCTAATTAAGACTTTCAGCTCGAGTATAATCAACTAGTTCTAACATGAATATGAGTATATAAGTGTAGCGATCGAAAGAGTTTCACGAACCTCAAAGCAGTAAGCTTAGCGGCCTCACTTTGATCCTTTGCCAAAACCGGAATAATAGACAGGTGCGATATGTCAACGAAGTTGATGGAAAATGAGATTACGGTGGCGATGGAAAAGTAATACAACAACACCACCCACTCGCTGGTTCCACTGCCACAAACTAAACATTGGCTGAAAAATAGCGGAACACCGATTGTAGCTGCGATAGTTCCAAACAAATGCCACGATTTTTTCTTTCCAAGCCTGCGTGACAGAACCGGAATCTTAACCTTATCACATAAAAAACCTGCCATTGGAGCAAATATTAATGCACCGACAAAAAGACTGTAGAGAGTAATCAAGCCGGCATTGGTTGCAGAAATGCCAACAACTCTCATGAGAAAAATCATTCGGAATGACTGCAACAAGCGGCGAGTGACATCATTAATCACATGCCCCACTCCACAGGAAAATTGCTGCAGATGAGATATGCCTCTCACAGGATTTTTCTCGATCTCCACGTTCATATCCGCAAACACCAACAGCCTAAAAAGGAATCAAGAGTGAGAAAAATAAAAGCAAAGAAGGATGTACTGGTAGCAGGAGTAGTAACACTAAATTTTGGGTCAACTTTTCAAACCGGGTAACCTGTACTATTTCAGCTATGACACCTTGAGATCATTTCTCCAGATTATTTCATTAAATCCAGAAATTACAAAGCACAACTAAGGGCCCAAGAGGACTGAAAGAAAACAAGATCTAAACTTGATATTCCCTTAAACCTTGCCTACATTTCCAGAATTTTTATAGGGTTGTTAAAGGTAACAGATGAGAAATATGAATAGGCCTTAATACGCGAGTCGGACTGGCTCCGCCACAAAACCAAATTGATTCCATCCAGTTCCAATCATTTAACCCTATTTCGTCTTACTCAATTATTTGATTGATTAATTAATTTGCTCTAATTTACCTGCCTCGCGCTCCAAACCCATATTATTTTCAGCAGATAATTAACCTTTCCTTTATTTTCTCATTTTCGCTACCTCGGAGCATTCAAATGTAACGTAATACATTATTCTGATATCTATGATTGTAGGTATAATAATTACAAAATGGTTAGGTCCTCTATTTATGATGTTGAGGGACCGGGTGATGTTCAACTTTGCCTATGATCATTTCGGCAATCAGCTGGGATGAAACCAATTTTCGACCTCACAGTTTTATCATGATAGTTTAGCCACAGAATTTTTGGTTTTCAAAGCATATCATCTTTTTGTAAGTCGCTGCTCGGCTGAGAAGAAAGCGAGAATAAAAAGTTCTAAAATCTTTATCCACATTCAATAGAATGTGTGGTCAAAGGGAAATACTTGCCGATATCAAAAGCGTGATATAACGTGATATAGCATGCTTAATTTGCAATTACAGAACACAAGACGATTCCTGTCTCGAAATGCACGCTAGAAAACAATAATCGAACGCTTTTAACTAATATTTAATTTCAAGTAACAATCACCATACTTACGAGAAGGCTAATGATCCTTGAGAAAGTTCCAATGTGGAGTGAAAGGGAAAATGTTTAAATTTTATCATTACATGGTGACAAGAGAAGATATTTATACTTTCTTGATGGTGATTATGAATTGTTCAAAACTGAATTGCGTCAAATAGGTCAGGAAGGAGGATCATTTTTCATTTGAAGTAATCTGTGCATCGCGTTGCTACAACAAAGGCTGAACATTTCATGGCCCATGTAGGTACAACTGCGACGAAAAATGTTGCAGAAAACAGACCTTACAGAATAGTATAATTTCTCAAAATTGTTTCTTCTGATGATGAAAATGACGATGTTAAGTAAGACGTCTTCTTTTGAAAAAGAACTAAATACTCTTCATTGTCTTCCATGCTCGAGTGAACTAAAACCGGTTGCGATGGATTAGATTCATAATTGACCTAGAGTGATTAAAAAAAAAATCTTAGTTAATCAGTCGACCTTTAACAGCAAGTTACGTATTTCCTTTTATACGTATGCAATTACCTTGCACGTACACTCGGACAGCTACAGGCCTACTGAACAACGTTCCCCTTAAGTATTCACTGATATCAGAAATCTAACGTTATTAAAACATAGCGCAGACTTTTTATTTTGAAAAACATAATTTATAAACGATCTCAGCACACCTCATGTTATAATAATTCCTGCGATTAATTAATAATTCCGTGGACCGCCGTTTAAGTAGCTAAAATAATTTAATCTTTTAAGTGTAAAGAAATTAAGTATTTTAAATATAAAGTGATTACATAGATTACCATGACATTGAATAGTATTGGATTTGATACAAGGCTAGGCGCTCGAAAGTTAATCTTTGCAAACTAGAGGTGAATTTCGTGAGTCAACAGCAAATTTCGTTTAATCTTATAATCACCGAAATAAACATTATAGTCCATTATACGGACTAGTTGGAGCTGGGCTTAATAGTCCGGATAATCAAAAGTCCGGATAATTGAGAGTCCGGGTAATCGCAAGTCCGGATAATGGAGAATAATAGAATTTTGACTGTAACATGACGCGTTCTTAGATTGTGCAACCAGAGAATTAAGTTCGCCGGGACAATCGAAGATCCAGATAATCGAGTTCTGGATAACAGAGGTTTGTCACATTCAACTGACTCCAAAAGACCGTCGCCGACTCGATATCGCTTTTATTTAGACCCATGCTTTCAACGCTGTCAAGACGCCTGAAATACTGAATTCGAACGTGCTTTTAAGATAGTTCATTTAAAGAAAAAAAAATTACAAAGCCCGTTCAAAGACATTAAGGCTTACATTTGACAGTTGAAGAGTTTCTGAAATATAAGCTCTCATAAGTATCGGTGTTGACATAATTTCGAGTGCAATTAGGTGTTAATGAGCAGGAGTAAATTTTTCAATAGCAACAAAATTGCACGAGTTCCGTCGGGCAAGTGCAATTTGCAGTTAAGAATGTTTGAATCACTCGTGCCCAAATAGGTCACGAGTACATCAGACGCATATGTTGGAATGTACTGGACTGTTCAAAACAAAGAGTCAAGAAAATTATGTGTAGCCATATTATTACCCATATTATGTTGGTAAACATTGATATAAAAGAAGTAAGTTTCTAAAACAAATATATAAGTGCTGCGTTGATAGGGTGTATAACGAGATAAGTTGGTTTTATCAACCTAGTTGATGATAATTAATTGTGAATATATGAAGAAACATACATGTAAATTGCGGATAGAAAAATAAAAACCGAAGCAATCTTC